ATTAAATTAGAATCAAAATGTTTGTCTAAGATTTAACTAAACATTAAATTAGAATCAAAATGTGTGTCTAAGATTTAACTAAATATGCACATTGAACTAAATATGAATTTCTTATTACTTTAGTGCGAATAATGAATAAACTAAATATTTACTCTGTATATAATTAATTTAAATATAATAAATATAAGTTATATAATTCGTTAGGCGCCCGTTAGACGCTCGATCCACGTCTCGACGTCACCTAAGTTGGCCTAAAAATTAAGATTAAATACCTTATTTTTTATTTATTTTCAATATCTCTAATATAAAACTATCTCAACTTAGGATAAATCTACATACCTAAGTCTAAATAATAATATTAATATATTATAAAAAAAATCATAATAAGATAATATTGTAACTAATATTTTTAAAAAAAAAAAAACTAGAAAATTGAGGACGAGCCCGTGGAGGAGCGCCTAGGCTCACCTAGAGAATCGATTTTCCTGCCGATTCATGCAAATTAAAGATGGCCGGGTGGAGTCTAGCGCCTAGGCGGCCGAGTTTTAGTAGTGGCAATAATAAGATCATGCTTGTACTTAAGAGTAAAGAAGACCAGAACTATATGTGGACCCAAAGGACAAACTGAATGCCACCAAAGTTGCATAACATTTTACTCCAAAGTGAAAAAATCAATACACAATGATGTCAATTCGGTCAACTAGAAATTCTAGGAGCCAATGGAGTCATCCATAACTTTATATATTGATACGTGTCCAAAGTGTATTTATTACAGGACACGTGTCAATACACCATTTGTGGATAACTGTGGATGACTTCATAACCCGAGCTATTCGATGGCTCCATAGCAAAACCGTTCAATCATCTAGTCATGTTAAAACTGAAGGCATCAATTGCATACAATACAAGGGCAAGACCAAACCCGATTAATGAATAGGTTCCAACTGCCAACAATTTCATATCAGCAACATTTTGTCATTTATCAAACATCACATTACATTATTGCTGCATTAATAGCACGCATTTCCATTATTTTTCCAAATTAAAATCTAGTCATGCTATATCTGCAGGTAGGACGGATTCAGAAATTAAAAGTAGACTGTGTTAGAATTTTAAATACTCATTTTCATAAAACCACATAATATTTTTTTTTTTGTCAAATATGAGTTGAAATATAAATTTTTGAACTAATCGTTTCCACATTCTATACCCATGATCAACCGCTCAAAAATAAACTGACAGAAAACAGATTATCTACCAAAACCAAAAGTGCAAATATCTCATAAAATAAAGAAAAAAAACCCAAAAATTGAATCTTTAAGCTTAAGAAATACACTCAATCACACGAAAAAAGCAAGCAAGGCCCATAAAAGCCATGGGCCGTGAAAACCAAAATCTATAAAAAAACAACTAATTGAACAGAATTACATAACATGGAAA